ACTCCTGATGTCTGCCCTTCACAGAGCCCCAGTTCTCAAACAGGAACAAGTCAAAGTTCTACTGCAGGGAGAAAGGGTCACAGGAAGGGGAAAGAAAGGCCATTCAAGGAAATAGCAGGCCATCCTCTCTAGGAAAGCAGAGAAGTGGAGGTGGAATCCCCATATCTCTGGTAAACTCATAGTCCAATCATCCCAGATGAGCCCCATGAGGCACCAACTAACCAGGACATTCAAAGAATAGCTGCTGCTATCCAGAAAATACTAGACAGACAGAGGATCCCAAATCATCACCACGGATGTTAAAGCCAGAATGGACACTGCCAGCAAAAGGTGCCAAACCACAACCAGGACCTGGATAGTTCCCATGGAGGGACCCTGGAACACCAAGCCAGTAGGTACACAGACTTGCTCTGGCCATGTCATTACTCTTACAATAATCCAACCTCTCATTTATTTTATTTTCTTATTTTTAATTTATTTTATTTTATTTTTTATTTTATTTTTTCCCCCAAAGCCCCAGTAGATAGTTGTATGTCATAGCTGCACATCCTTCTAGTTGCTGTATGCGGGACGCAGCCTCAGCATGGCAGGAGAAGCGGTGCGTCGGTGCACGCCCGGGATCTGAACCCGGGCCGCCAGCAGCAGAGTGCGCACTTAACCGCTAAGCCACAGGGCCAGCCCCAACCTCTCATTTCTAATGACTGAATATTTGGGAACTCACTTATGACATTATGGCAGGATTTCATTGTTCTTTTATAATCAAAACTGAAACTAATATTATTTAAGAAAAAATATTAAATCAATATTTAAGAAAAAATATCCCAACCGCTTGGAAATTTAAAAGTATTCTCCTAAACAACTATGGAGGTAAAACAAAAAAAATTTAATGTAATTATAAACAATTTAGAATATATTTTTAAAAATTAGAACACTATGTATCCAAACTTAAGGAACAGGTCCAAAGCTATATTCAAAGGAAAATTCATAGTAATAAATATTTTTGTTACAAAGAAAAAAAGGAAAGTAAATAAACCAAGCATTCACTTCAAGACATTAAGTTTGGGGGAAAAAAAAGAATGCTATTTTATTTTATTTTATTTTTGCTGAGGAAGATTCGCCCTGAGCTAACATCTATTGCCAATCTTCCTCTCTCTCTATATATATTTTTTTGCTTGAGGAAGATTCTCCTTGAGCTACCATCTGTGCCAATCTTCCTCTATTTTGCATGTGGGTCACTGCCACATGGCTACCGACAAGTGGTACAGGTCCGTGCCCAGGAACCGAACTCTGGCCACCGAAGCAGAGTGTGTGGAACTTAACCACTAGGCCATGGGGCTGGCCCCAAAAATGCTATTTTAAAAGATAAAAGCAACACAAAGGAAACAAAACATGGAAATACATCAGAATTGAGAAATAAATCCAAGAGCTGAGTGACTGAAAAGCAAACAAACCAATGACAGACTTTGACAAACCTTATTAGAAAGAGAAAGAATCCACTGCAATGGGGTCACATTTTGAAAATTATTAGCATACTTTTCTCTTTTGTCTTTCTGACTTTGACCTGACTTTTTCTCTAGTCATGCTGAAGCATCCTTTGTGGGAAGGTATGGAGAGATAAAGACTTTTTAACGAAAGAATGTAAAGAGAAAGGATAAGGTAATATTCAATTTTAGACAAGTAAAATAAGATTTGCTACAGCCCCAAGAGAAGATTTCCTAAATTCCTCTCATTCTCCCTCTTTAGCACATTAACCACCTTACCTGGAAGACACAGGTCCTTGAGTTTTCCCAATCCTGTTACTCCCAGGCCCCACAATTTACCATTAAGGCTTAGGTTTGAGTCAGGCCTGGAGTTTGAGTCAGGACAACAGAAAATATGAGGCAGGGGGAAGCCTGCACATTTCCATCCTAGAACAAGGGTAGAAAGAAGAGAGAGAAAGGAAGAGGGGAGCTTTGGCTTGGAGAGAGAAAGGCGAAGCTAACAACAAGGTAGGGAGGGCTTTGCCTCCACCCCCAGCTAGGACTCTAAGAAGAGATCACCTCTTGGGCAGTCTCCCATCCTGAAGTTAACTTAGAGTAGGGTCATACCTACTTTATGGGGCAAGTGGTGGGAGGCCCTGATATTTAGTTTCCTGAACCAACCTTGGTTCTTGTATGTTTCGATGGAGGGCCAGAAATAGCTGGGAGACTGGCTGTGGAGTTAGCTAGCCAGAGCTGGGTGAGATAGCATCATAGCAAACGTTGCAGTGACAACCCAGGATAGGACCAAAAGAGGATCTTCACCCAAAGGGAGCATCAGGTAGGAGCTCAGGTGAGGCCAAGGCAGTGGGGAGGACCAGCAGGTAGAATGCCTGAGGAAAAAGAATGAACCACAAGCTGCAACTTTCATCATTGGCTACCGACATGGTACCCAGCCAACAGACGGAAAATGGACAACATCACCCTGGAGATTAGAGGAGTCTAAGGAGACCGTGATCAGGAACCCCATCTCTTAAGTCCACCATCACATCATCTAAGCCCCTCTCCCGTTTATATATGGATGCCATCTTAAAGTGAGAACAGATGGTGGAAGCAATCTGAAAGATTGAGCGTTTGTTCCGAGACAGAATAAATATTACTGAAAAGAGTTGCTTAAATTGTCATATCCGACTAAGCTTTAACCTGGACACACACACAGACACAGACACACACACACACACTCTTGCCCAGCACCTATGAAAGCCTGCACACCAGGAGATTAAGAATGTGGCATTCTAGGGCCGGCCCCGTGGCTTAGAGGTTAAGTGCACATGCTCCACTGCTGGCGGCCCAGGTTCGGATCCCGGGTGCCCACCAACGCACCGCTTCTCTGGCCATGCTGAGTCCGTGTCCCACATACAGCAACTAGAAGGATGTGAAGCTATGACATACAACTATCTACTGGGGCTTTGAGGGAAGAAAAATAAATAAAATTAAAAAAAAAAAAAAAAAAGAATGTGGGATTCTAGATTCATATGGCCTGGCTCAACAATTTGTCAACTCTGTGACTTTGGGCAATTTACTTAATCTCTCTTCAGCTTCCTCATCTATAAAATGAGGATAATAATAGTTTCTCTTAGTGTTTTTTAAGGATGACGTTAATAAATGTAAAGTGCTTAGAGTAGTGTTGGCTATCTTTATTACTGTCAGCATCACTATTATATTATTACTTATATCTGTTACTTAGAGTGTGGGGCTCATGGAGGAAGATCAGCTACAGAAAAATGAAGAAATTACTATTTCTCTACAAAATCAAGCAATATGGATTAAAATTTGCACCCCTGCTACATAAATATTCAAAATCAGAAGTGATCAAGAGGATATAAAATAGATCAAAAGACAGATTTTAAAAAACACAACAGAATGGTATAAATAAAAAATCTTAATAAAATGGACTACATTCAGGAAAAAAATATGAATTACCTCTATTAGCTCAAGAAGTATGCCAAAAGAAACTGAAAAATTCATCAAAGAATTGCCTCAAAATAGATCTAGGACCAGATCATTTAATTTGTGCCTTATTTCAAACTTTCCCGAAAGGGGAACCCCAGAATGTATAATAATCCCTGGACTTGGAAAAAGATGGAATGCTCCCCAGTTCATTGGAAAGCTAGGCTACCTACGGTACACAACCCTGCATAAAATAAAACCATAGGCCAATGTTTTTCTCAAAAGTTTGGTTATTCCAGGATTTCTCGGTGCCTCTAATATGCTGTGAAATTTCACTAGGAGGGTTGTGACAGCAGTGTTGTCTCTGCACTTCAAGATTTCTTTCAGGCTCCCCCAGACCTTTCTTAGGATCACACAGGAGCCTTGAGTCATGCAATCAGAAGATTAAGATGGTCCCACAGCCAATATACAGAAGAATACATAGAGGAAAAGGGATTCACAAGAGATAAACAGAGAAAAAAAGACAGTATACAAAGTTGCAGTAATAACAGCAGTGCTGAGGCACAAACCAGTACATTCTGCTGGTGAAAATGTAAATTGATTCACCTCTTCTAGGAAGCAACTGGCTATGTATTTAGAACCTAAAATGTACATACTCTGACTTAATAATCCAACTTCTATGACTCCACCCTAGAGAATTAATTTAAAATGAAGATAAAGATTAACATACAAGGATGCACTTAATAGAATTATTAATAGCAAACAAAACACCAAACAACCTAAATCTCTAAAACTGGAAACAGTTAACTAGATTATGACACATTCATATGATGAATTAGGCAACAATCAAAGCAATGTTTTGGGGGAAAATTTTAATGACATGCATATGTTTATGATTTTTTAGGTAAAAAGGCAGAACACAAGCTACAAAGTATGATCTTAAGTATATTTTTAAAAATATATGTATATAAGAAGAATATAGACCAAAATCTTAAAATGATCTCTGGGTGGGGACTCTGAATCTTTTTTTATACATTTCTCATACTACCTAACTTTCTGCACTAAGTATGTATTATTTTTATAATCAGAAAAGAGATAAAAACCAAATAACGATTGTACGTGGGTAAATACTCATGCGAGTGAAAAAGAACAATTTTAAGTCTCTGTTCACTAGGACGACAACACTGTCAACACTGCACAGAATTCCATCCTCCTAAACGTGAATCTTAACACCGTGCACTTCAAAGCATAGAAGACAGAAAGCAAACCAACCCAATTCCTCAAGAGACAGGCTGAGCTGCGTCTCTGGGAGGGTTTCAACTATCGAGAGGGGAACTCAGCGCCCCTTTTTTAAAGCGCAGCTGTTTTAGTATCCCCCTTGGTTCACCTGGAGGAACAGGCGTTACAGGAGAGGTTGAGGGAGTGTGAGGAGTTACACGCGCGCGTGCACACATTCTCTCTCTCTCTTACACACACACACCCCCGACACACTCAAATCCACTCAATCGTGTTGTCCCAGCCAGACAATTTGAAGCGAGTCCTGCGGCCGCAGCCACGGAGCCCCCTCCCTCGGCCGCCCCGCGCCGCGGGTACCTGTTCGTGGTGCGCGGCAGCGGGGTCGCCGGGCTCCTGAGCGTCCTCAGCGCGGCGGGGGTGCCGTGGGTGGCCTCCCTGCTTTCCTCTACCAACAGCCTGCACAGACAGGAAGAAAACTAAGTTGTTACACCTCGCAGGGAGCAGCTGGCTGGCAGGCTCGGCAGGAGCATCGCGCTCGCAGCCAGCCGGTTCGTCCTCGCGCGCCCTGGCTCCCCCGGGCGCCTCCCAAACCCCGGAGTTAGAAGAGGCTTAGGGCGGGAAGGAAGGGAGAGCACGGACCAGAAAGGAGAGTCCGCGATACTGATGGGGAACCCGACGGCGGGTCCCGCTCTGCAGCTCCCTCACCCAGAGCGACGCAAGCTGGAGTCCTCGCAACCCTGACCAGTCCCTCCCGCCACAGCTGGTGCCCTCCTGGTCCAAGTGGCGCCCCTCTGATAACCCCTGTCTCCTGGAGGCCCCCACCCCACCCTCAGGCCGCCGCTGCCCGTCGGCTTGTCCTCGCAGAGGCCAAAAGTCTGCGCGCCCAAGCGGAGCGGCTGGGGTGCCGGGGGCGCACGGCGGGCGCACAGCGGGGCGC